TCTCTGTGGCGCAATCGGTTAGCGCATTCGGCTGTTAACTGAAAGGTTGGTGGTTCAAGCCCACCCAGGGACGGATCAAGCATTTTGCTGCCTTGTAACTGCTAACACGTGCACTGGACATAGATCCTGGGCCACATTCTGTCCAGCGTTACAAGACGAAATCAGGATTTAGCAGAACATTGTCACGGGTAGGGAAGGTATTACTGTAAACAGTGTTTAGCTCTTAAAAGTTCATCTCATCAGCCCGGCTACCTCAGTCGGTAAAGCATGAGACTCTTAATGTCAGGGTCGTGGGTTCGAGCCCCACGTTGGGCGTTCCTGTTATTTTTCTCACTCTCTCCCAGCAAACTTACATTAGGGTTCATGTAGCAGACTTTGAGACAAAGTTCCGCGTTTCTACCACTGTAGGTGACCTTTCACTAAGTCTCTGTGGCGCAATCGGTTAGTGCGTTCGGCTGTTAACTGAAAGGTTGGTGGTTCAAGCCCACCCAGGGACGAATTAGGCATTTTGCTGCCTTGCAACTGCTAACACATGCACTGGACATAGATCCTGGGCCACATTCTGTTCAGCGTTACAAGATGAAATCAGGATTTAGCAGAACATTGTCACGGGTAGGGAAGGTATTACTGTAAACGGTTTCTAGCTCCTAAAAGAGCTTTTCATCAGCCCCGCTAGCTCAGTCGATAAAGCATGAGACTCTTAATCTCAGCGTCGTGGGTTAGAGCCCCACATTGGGCGTTTCTGTTACCTCTCTTTCTCTCAGCAAACTATCATTAGGGTTCATATAGCAGACCTTTTGAGACAAAGTTCCGCGTTTCTACCACTGTAGGTGACCTTTCACTAAGTCTCTGTGGCGCAATCGGTTAGCGCGTTAGGATGTTAACTGAAAGGTTGGTGGTTCAAGCCCACCCAGGGACGGATCAAGCATTTTGCTGCCTTGTAACTGCTAACACGTGCACTGGACATAGATCCTGGGCCACATTCTGTCCAGCGTTACAAGACGAAATCAGGATTTAGCAGAAGATTGTCACGGGTAGGAAAGGTATTACTGTAAAGGGTTTCTGGTTCCTAAAAGAGCTTCTCATCAGCCCGGCTAGCTCAGTCGGTAGAGCATGAGACTCTTAATCTCAGGGTCGTGGGTTCGAGCCCCACGTTGGACGTTCCTGTTACTTTTCTCTCTCTCTCTCAGCAAACTTACATTAGGGTTCATATAGCAGACCTTTTGAGACAAAGTTCTGACTTTCTACCACTGTAGGTGACCTTTCACTAAGTCTCTGTGGTGCAATCGGTTAGCGCTTTTGGCTGTTAACTGAAAGGTTGGTGGTTAAAGCCCACCCAGGGACGAATTAGGCATTTTGCTGCCTTGCAACTGCTAAACCGTGCACTGGGCATATATCCTGGGCCACATTCTGTCCAGCGTTACAAGATGAAATCAGGATTTAGCAGAAGATTGTCACGGGTAGGAAGGTATTATTGTAAAGGGTTTCTGGTTCCTAAAAGGGCTTCTCATCAGCCCGGCTAGCTCAGTCGGTAGAGCATGAGACTCTTAATCTCAGGGTCGTGGGTTCGAGCCCCACGTTGGGCGTTCCTCTTACTTTTCTCTCTCTCTCCCGGCAAACTTACATTAGCGTTCATGTAGCAGACTTTGAGACAAAGTTCCGCGTTTCTACCACTGTAGGTGACCTTTCACTAAGTCTCTGTGGCGCAATCGGTTAGCGCGTTCGGCTGTTAACTGAAAGTTTGGTGGTATAAGCCTACCCAGGGACGAATTAGGCATTTTGCTGCCTTGTAACTGCTAACATGTGCACTGGACATAGATCCTGGGCCACATTCTGTCCAGCGTTACAAGATGAAATCAGGATTTAGCAGAAGATTGTCACGGGTAGGGAAGGTATTACTGTAAAGGGTTTCTGGTTCCTAAAAGAGCTTCTCATCAGCCCGGCTAGCTCAGTCGGTAGAGCATGAGACTCTTAATCTCAGGGTCGTGGGTTTGAGCCCCACGTTGGGCGTTTCTGTTACTTTTCTCTCTCTCTCCCGGCAAACTTACATTAGGGTTCATGTAGCAGACTTTGAGACAAAGTTCCCCGTTTCTACCACTGTAGGTGACCTTTCACTAAGTCTCTGTGCCGCAATCGGTTAGCGCGTTCGGCTGTTAACTGAAAGGTTGGTGGTTCAAGCCCACCCAGGGACGAATTAAGCATTTTGCTGCCTTGCAACTGTTAAACCGTGCACTGGGCATATATCCTGGGCCACATTCTGTTCAGCGTTACAAGATGAAATCAGGATTTAGCAGAACATTGTCACGGGTAGGGAAGGTATTACTGTAAACGGTTTCTAGCTCCTAAAAGAGCTTTTCAACAGCCCCGCTAGCTCAGTCGATAAAGCATGAGACTCTTAATCTCAGCGTCGTGGGTTAGAGCCCCACATTGGGCGTTTCTGTTACCTCTCTTTCTCTCAGCAAACTATCATTAGGGTTCATATAGCAGACCTTTTGAGACAAAGTTCCGCGTTTCTACCACTGTAGGTGACCTTTCACTAAGTCTCTGTGGCGCAATCGGTTAGCGCGTTAGGATGTTAACTGAAAGGTTGGTGGTTCAAGCCCACCCAGGGACGGATCAAGCATTTTGCTGCCTTGTAACTGCTAACACGTGCACTGGACATAGATCCTGGGCCACATTCTGTCCAGCGTTACAAGACGAAATCAGGATTTAGCAGAACATTGTCACGGGTAGGGAAGGTATTACTGTAAACAGTGTTTAGCTCTTAAAAGTTCATCTCATCAGCCCGGCTACCTCAGTCGGTAAAGCATGAGACTCTTAATGTCAGGGTCGTGGGTTCGAGCCCCACGTTGGGCGTTCCTGTTATTTTTCTCACTCTCTCCCAGCAAACTTACATTAGGGTTCATGTAGCAGACTTTGAGACAAAGTTCCGCGTTTCTACCACTGTAGGTGACCTTTCACTAAGTCTCTGTGGCGCAATCGGTTAGCGCGTTCGGCTGTTAACTGAAAGGTTGGTGGTTCAAGCCCACCCAGGGACGAATTAGGCATTTTGCTGCCTTGCAACTGCTAACATGTGCACTGGACATAGATCCTGGGCCACATTCTGTCCAGCGTTACAAGATGAAATCAGGATTTAGCAGAAGATTGTCACGGGTAGGGAAGGTATTACTGTAAACTGTTTCTAGTTCCTAAAAGAGCTTCCCATCAGCCCGGCTAGCTCAGTCGGTAGAGCATGAGACTCTTAATCTCAGGGTCGTGGGTTCGAGCCCCACGTTGGACGTTCCTGTTACTTTTCTCTCTCTCTCTCAGCAAACTTACATTAGGGTTCATATAGCAGACCTTTTGAGACAAAGTTCTGACTTTCTACCACTGTAGGTGACCTTTCACTAAGTCTCTGTGGTGCAATCGGTTAGCGCTTTTGGCTGTTAACTGAAAGGTTGGTGGTTAAAGCCCACCCAGGGACGAATTAGGCATTTTGCTGCCTTGCAACTGCTAAACCGTGCACTGGGCATATATCCTGGGCCACATTCTGTCCAGCGTTACAAGATGAAATCAGGATTTAGCAGAAGATTGTCACGGGTAGGAAGGTATTATTGTAAAGGGTTTCTGGTTCCTAAAAGGGCTTCTCATCAGCCCGGCTAGCTCAGTCGGTAGAGCATGAGACTCTTAATCTCAGGGTCGTGGGTTCGAGCCCCACGTTGGGCGTTCCTCTTACTTTTCTCTCTCTCTCCCGGCAAACTTACATTAGGGTTCGTGTAGCAGACTTTGAGACAAAGTTCCGCGTTTCTACCACTGTAGGTGACCTTTCACTAAGTCTCTGTGGCGCAATCGGTTAGCGCATTCGGCTGTTAACTGAAAGGTTGGTGGTTCAAGCCCACCCAGGGACGAATTAGGCATTTTGCTGCCTTGCAACTGCTAACACATGCACTGGACATAGATCCTGGGCCACATTCTGTCCAGCGTTACAAGATGAAATCAGGATTTAGCAGAATATTGTCACGGGTAGGGAAGGTATTACTGTAAAGGGTTTCTGGTTCCTAAAGAGCTTCTCATCAGCCAGGCTAGCTCAGTCGGTAGAGCATGAGACTCGTAATGTCAGGGTGGTGGGTTCGAGCCCCACGTTCGGCGTTACTGTTACTTTTCTCTCTCTCTCCCGGCAAACTTACATTAGCGTTCATGTAGCAGACTTTGAGACAAAGTTCCGCGTTTCTACCACTGTAGGTGACCTTTCACTAAGTCTCTGTGGCGCAATCGGTTAGCGCGTTCGGCTGTTATCTGAAAGGTTGGTGGTTCAAGCCCACCCAGGTACGAATTAGGCATTTTGCTGCCTTGCAACTGCTAACACGTGCACTGGACATAGATCCTGGGCCACATTCTGTCCAGCGTTACAAGATGAAATCAGGATTTAGCAGAAAATTGTCACGGGTAGGAAGGTATTACTGTAAACTGTTTCTGGTTCCTAAAGAGCTTCTCATCATCCCCGCTAGCTCAGTCGATAGAGCATGAGACTCTTAATCTCAGCGTCGTGGGTTAGAGCCCCACATTGGGCGTTTCTGTTACCTCTCATTCTCTCAGCAAACTATCATTAGGGTTCATATAGCAGACCTTTTGAGACAAAGTTCCGCGTTTCTACCTCTGTAGGTGACCTTTCACTAAGTCTCTGTGGCGCAATCGGTTAGCGCGTTAGGCTGTTAACAGCGTTACAAGACGAAATCAGGATTTAGCAGAACATTGTCACGGGTAGGGAAGGTATTACTGTAAACAGTGTTTAGCTCTTAAAAGTTAATCTCATCAGCCCGGCTACCTCAGTCGGTAGAGCATGAGACTTCCTATACTATACTTTTGGTTTCTACTATAAAATATTGCACTATGATTAAATACATTATTATATAAAATATTAAACATACTAGATTATGATTTAATGCATTAAGTCTGTTGTATTTTAATTAACTGTATTTGTAAATAGATATTGTTCAGTTACTTAAATATTTTTAGTCATTTATTGTTTTTGTTGTTGTTTTTTGTTTTTAAATCATTAAGGATTTATCAAACTCTTTAGTATTGAGTTGAGGGAATGAACATTATCTTATTATTCACAGAATAAATGATAGTACTCGGAGTAATTTTCTCACACCAAACTTTATTTTTTTTATAAATTTTCATGAGGTCCTACAAGTCATCGAGCTGTAAAAAATGCAGAGAAAAATTGTGAAAAACAATACTTGGATTAATAATGTATTAATTACATATAAAATAAAATAAAATGCTTTACATTCTTGTTGGGGAGATTTTTCATTTCTCGAGCAATTCTTCTGTTAAATTCCTCAACTTCACTAAAAAAAATAAATGCTGTTGTCAGAAATTGTGTTTAACATAAAAACTTAACAGCTTTTGTACAAAAAAAAAAATGTAAACATACCTTGCGTGATAAATGGGGCCCTGGAGGAAGACATCTTCAGCCTCCTGCCAAGACAAGCCTTGTAACTCGGAAATGCCATGAGTTATGGCCTGTACAAACATACAGATAAACCAATTAATAAAATAAAACACACACTGCAGAACATAAGCATGCTCATGTACAAACATGTTTTGTGATTACCTCTGGGAGGAGACATCCACAAATGAACTCCACCTCATCATTGAAGGTCAGCTGTGTTTTGGTTTTATTAAGAATTCCTCTGATGTAGTCACAAATGATTGACTGGGACTGCTCATTCTCAATGTAGACAGGCACTTGAGAACGGGGTTTTAGTGGAAACCAATTTGACCTTTTCCCACCGAGTATATCCTTTGGGCCATAGAAGGAAATTATATTTCATATGTAAATGCACAAGTAATTAATTATATTTGGCAAATAATAGTTAAATTGTCACTTGATTATATTTAAGTCAACCATACTTAGAGTCTAGAGGAGTAATTTAAAGTGGAACCATCTATACCACCAAATGCTGCTCTGCTGATTTTGATGTGATAATCAAGTCCACTAATCTTTAGTCATTCCTTTCCCGATCTTGAACTGCTTGGACATGTGCCGGAAGATTGGATGTGGTTTTTCTTTTCACCCTAAAAAGGGGCAGAATCTTTCCATCCAAGACACTTCTTGCCTCCTTAGTCCAGAAAGTAAATCTGTGCCCATAGCTTTTAATAACAAGACAAGACAAAATCCATATTAACTGGTCACCGGTAAGAGAGATTTTAAGTATGTTTTGTTATTCATGTTACAAGTTGTTGTACTGACACAATATAAATTTTTAATTTTACAGATTTTCAAGAAAAAATGAATAAATACTGACATACCCATCAATTTGAAATTGTTCCATGAGTAGAAGGCACCACCACTGACGGATGATAGGTATATCCATCTGAAAGAAAGACTGTTTAGTCTGACAGTTAACCAACATGTTTTTGTTAATACATGATGTTGGGTGTGCTTGCAATAACCATGCCCCTTTTTTTTTAAAGATATGTTGCTTAGAAGAAAGCAAGATAATATACATTAAAATAGTTACATTTTAGCTATGATTAAGAAAAGCACAAACAAAATAAAGTTACATAAATAATAAAATAAAACCTCCTGGAATTGAAACCCAATGCCACACACCATTGAGAGGGTGTACTGAAAAGAGAGAAGCCACAGTCATTTACAATGTTTACAAAATCTTTAAATCAATTAACTCAATTTATATCTTACCAAGAGTACAAAAACACCACAATCATCCCCTTTTGTCTGACGTGGCAAAGCCTAAAATAGGCAAAGCAAATCACTTTTATTTTAGAATAATGTACAAAAAATTTAATTGTTGTAAAAGTATAAAATATATATATATTTTTAAGTTGATTCCTCACTGGAAAATCATATCCAGTCTTTTCAGTCCATGTCCCATGATCCACTTGGTAAGCAATTTTCCTGTAAACAAAACATATTAGTAGTAATACTAACAATTACAGCTCACCTCAACTCTAGAACACCATGCATAAAAAAGGCTAGATGAACATAGCCAGAAGTTCAAGAAATGGCTATAGGAACGTAGCCAAAAGTGACAGAACTATAATACACGGTTAGGAAATAAATAGAAATGGCTATAGGAACGTAGCCATATATCACATAAAGGCTGAAACATGTCTTAGTTTATTGATAGACCTAAAAATTGCCCTGTATTCCTCATCTCCAAATCCTGATTCATGCTTTGCGTACAGAGAGTCTAAAAACACCATCTCTCTTCGAAGCGGCATCATTATCTACAATGTTAAAGGTGTAAAAATATTTCATTTGAACATTATTGCTTCTTCCAAGATTTTTCAGTGTTTTATTTTAGAAACACACACATTGCAATACCAATTAATGTATGCACTAGACATTTCAATATTTTCTTACACAGACAACAAAGTGGTCTGGTCCATTGGCATTTGTCTATGCTGCAAAGGCTAACAGGTCTTTCAAGTCTGCATCTTCCTAGAATTGATCAGGACAGTTTTGTTGTTTAATTTAGGTTGTACTTCTCACACAGTAAATACAGTACATACACGCACCGGTAATCCAGTAACAATGTTGTTAGGAGTTTCTTTCCACACAGGGACAACATAAAAGTCCTCAATGTATATGTCCTTGCCCTACATGAATAAAAAGAAACTGTTGACAATGACATGAACATTTTCACACAGTTTAGAAATTGTTTTTTTTTTTTTAATTTGGATCAAGTTAAAACAATCTATATAAATATTATGTTTTATAGTACATACAATTTGTCGAGCCATTTCACAAATAAGCTTCATGCAGGCGTTTCCAATCTGCAATAAATACTTTGATAAGTCAATGTTTTTAATAAGAAAAAGTTATAATAAAAAAAACAGACTGCTTACATGGGAGTCCATGTCCCTCAACAATCCAAGGCTGTGTTGGTGGATTTGTGTGGGTGGACAGTCCACGGGCAAAGTCATAAATAACAACATTAGGCAGATGCTTCCAAGACAGAAGCATATCTGCAAAATCCCGTGGACTTTCTGCTCGCAGATTACATTTTATACTGTAAACTATGCCACAAGGACACATGATGACAGCCCAACCTCCTGGAACAGACAAAAAAGATAAGCAAATAGTTAAGAAAACATAATCAAATCCCATTAATGACATTGGGACTTAAATGACCATAGGTTATGATGGAGGGCAGTGGCATTAACCTTAACAAAGTATACTTTAAAAAAATTTAAAGATGCAGTGCCTCAGAGATGTAAATACACTCCCCCACATGGAAAGCAACAATACACCCTGGTGTCAGACGAGGCCACCTCCAACACCCCCCCCAGAGCTGTACACCACCAGTCACTCCCCAATCAGTGCCAAGCAGAAAAGAGGACCCATTATGTCTATGTGACTTTGTACATTTCTGATTTATTTGTAATATTTTAATGTGCAACATTGAGGTTTACCTGAAGCAGCCCAAATCTTTTTAAAAACCTTGTCATAGGCCTCTCTTGACCTCATCTCCTCCGAAAGTCGCAGGAGTAGATCTGTGCGAGAGCCTTTGGCATCTAAACCACACTCTTGACACAGTCTTCTTATCACTCCCACCTATCCAGTGGTGGTAAGAGTACAAAAAAATTGTACTCAATTACAAGTACTGTTACATTGCTGAAATTGTACTCAATTACAAGTAAAAGTACTGGTGTTAAAAAGTACTCAAGTAAAAGTACAAATTACTCTTCGTAAAAACTACTCAAATTACAAAATTACAAATTACTTTTTTAGCTTGGCGGTATTGGTGGAATTATCCATAAATGCGGAGTCAGACAAGATCCAGGCAGTAAAACACATTTTACATAACACATCTAAAGATACTATAAACACTTTTAAAACTGTGTAAACAGCATTAATTATAGATTATAATTATAGAGCACCTATAGAGGAAACCCACGCCAACATGGGGAGAACATGCAAACTCCACACAGAAACACCAATTGACTCAGCCAGGGCTTGAACCAACAAACTTTTTGCTTTGAGGCGATAGCAATACCCACTGCGCACCATGATTATTTTACAAAAACAATGTTTTGCTATTTTGAGTATAAAGATAACAGAAATATGCACAAATGCACAACTTTTTATCATTTCAAATGATGCCTTTCTATCTGTACGATCAATAGATGATTTAATTAGAAAAAAACACTTGCAAATTATGGAGAAACTTTGTTAAATACCTAATTCGTGAACTGAACCGTCAGAAACCACAGAACAACACTGCCTAGTGCCTAAACATATTATTAATAAATTAAATATCACACAAATTAAGTTATGTCTTCTTATCATAATGTTTTTTTTTTCAGATTATAGACTGAAGTCTTGTAAAAAAAAAAAAAAGGGTTTCTGCAGATATCATAATGTCAAATGTAAGACTTTTTAAGACGTCATATCTTTAATATTGTTCAAGATTTTAAAAATAATTATTTTTCATTATTTTATAATTTATTATGATTACAAAGTTGGGTGGGGCAGTGGGTAGCGCTCTCGATTCAAGGCAAAAAGGTCGCTGGTTCAAGCCTTGGCAGTGTCAGTTGGCATTTCTGTGTGGAGTTTGCATGTTCTCCCCGTGTTGTGTGGGTTTGCTCAAGATGCTCCGGTTTTCCCCACAGTCCAAACACATGCATTTTAGGTGAATTAGGTAAGCTAAATTGTCTGTTGTTGTAAATGAGAATGGGTTGCAGCTGAAAGGGCATCCGTTGTGTAAAACATTTGCTGGATAAATTGGCGGTTCATTCCGCTGTGGCGACCCCTGATTAATAAAGGAACTAAGCCAAAAAGAAAATTAATGAATGATTATAAAGTTTTATAACTATTCAAGATTTTTTAAATTAAAGTTTGATGCATCACTCACTTTTGTTTAAATCTCGGACAGTTCTACCTATTAAAGTTAAATTTCAATGACAACAGAACATGGGTTACTCTACAATTATTATTATTTTTTTATTCTGGCAAGAATTATAGCAAAAAAAAAAAAAAAAACATTTTTTGCCCACTCAACAATTGACACATTATTGTCTGGCTAGTTTCTGTCCTCTACTAATGAGCTGAAAAGGCAATAATGGTCCAACAATCCTGTCCATCATCACCAATAAAGCCTAGAAATTGGGCATCAGTTTACTGTAAGTCGATGGGTTCATATATTATTGTCCAGTTATTTAATACCTAATGTGTTACTTAATTTTTGTTACATTGCTTTAACTTCAAAATGATACATCAGTGTAAAACCTATAAATGGTGGAAAAACATATTCTGTAATCTTAAAACCACCTGGGTCTCCACTTTTGCCATGGCCTCTTTTTTGTTGTAAAAAACTTATCCCCCAGGTTTTTCCAAACTTTAACAAAACACTTCCTTTCCATGGCTGTTGCCATTTCTAGCCAAGAATTATTGGTCATCTGGTCATCTCTATGCTGATCACGCATGGTCGGATAGTTAAGATGTCTGTACAGCTGTACTGTTACAGACAAAATCTCTTCAAAGTGATTCAAATTCAACTCAAATCAAGCGCGGCGCCGCGCGAACTGTTCACCTGAAATCATGTCGCGCGCATCCAAAGTGAACATCCGCAAACACGGCGATGACGTCACATTCGCCGTGCGCACTGAGCTATTGCATGCTGGTATTATTTGTAGTTTTAATACTGCAAATCACAATAGGACAAGTGAAATAAAGAACTACACCACCACGAAACCAAGCAACAACAAAAAAATAATTTAAATGAGCATTAGGAGTAGCGTTACATGGACATCGGACAAATAAGACCTGTGCAAACATATTTCAGATCTAGAACAGCGAATTTAAGACTTTTTAAAGCCTAAAATTTAGATGTTTATATTTTAGACATATTAAGACCCCATGGAAACCCTGTGTAAGCCGGATGGCACAGCAGAGTGCAGGTTTCATCCACTTATTTTTTGCGCTTTTTGGATATGCACATAAAACTGTTGATGGAAACGCTATAATGCACATATATTTTGAAAATGTGTGTGAATGGACAAAGCAGCAGGCTAAGCACATTGTAAAACATCTAAAGTGTTGTTTTGGTCATTCTAAACCGCCTCAACCATTTCAGTATTATATTATATTAATATTTTAATGACCTCCAGAATTGTCAAGAGTTTCTGCACTCCGTGTCTCGCACCTTCAAACGCCAGCGCGCGTTCACTGCGTGCAGGATTGACTTCTGATGCGCAAGTCACTTATTAAATGAAGATAATTTATTCACGCAGCTGCTCCAACTGATGCAAATTCTGTTTTTACTTTTGATATTTGTCGCCAGTTAATCAGAAGGTGGCAATTTTGTTCTCTTTGACTTGATGGACAGAAAAGCTGCTTTATTTGCAGTCTTTTATGCGATATTCCAGTTTTGGGCAAACATTTAATTAGCATTTTAGATGATAACATAGCTACATCAGCGCATCTGTCCCCTTTCTTCCCTATATACCTGTAGGTGAACAGCTCCTCCGGGTGTGGCCATGGGCATTCATCCTCTTCTATTTCTTCCTCATTTCTTCTGTCTTAAATCTCCATATGTCAGTTGATAACTTTGTGACTGTATTAAGACGGTCACGTAAATCTGCAGTAGCCTGAACTTGTTTTTCGGTTCAAATAATGTACCGGGCTTTTCATTGGTCCGTTAAGAAAGTTGAAATGCTGGTCAGTGCGTGGCTGAAATATGAATTTATTTACAGTACTCTGTAACGAATTGTGATTTTAAAAGTAACGAAGTAGATTACTCAGCTTAATTTGTACTCAAGTACAAGTAAAATTACAGGCTTAAAATTCTACTCATGAAAGTACAATTACACCAAAAATGTACTTAATTACTGTAACGTGAGTAGTTGTAATTCGTTACTCCCACCACTGTCGAGCCCCACGTTGGGTGTTTCTGTTAACTTTCTGTCTCTCTCTCAGCAATCTTTTATTAGGGTTCATAAAGCAGACCTTTTAAGACAAGGTTCAGTGTTTCTACCTCTGTAGGTGATCTTTCACTAAGTCTCTGTGGCGCAATCGGTTAGCGCATTCGGCTGTTAACTGAAAGGTTGATGGTTCAAGCCCACCCAGGAACAAATTAAACATTTTGCTGCCTTGCAACTGCTAACACGTGCACTGGGCATAGATCCTGGGCCACATTCTGTCCAGCGTTACAAGATGAAATCAGGATTTAGCAGAACATTGTCACGGGTAGGGAAGGTATTGTTGTAAATGGTGTCTAGCTCTTGAATAAGCTTGTAAATAGCCCGGCTAGCTCAGTCAGTAGAGCATGAGACTCTTAAACTCAGGGTCGAGAATTTGAGCCCCACGTTGGGCGTTTCTGTGACCTTTCTGTCTGTCTTTCAGCAAACTTTCATTAGGATTCATATAGCAGACCTTTAGACAAAGTTCAGCGTTTCTACCATTGTAGGTGACCCTGCACTAAATATCTGTCATCCATATATCATATATCAGCTGTTAACTGAAGGTTGGTGGTTCAAGCCCAACCAGGGACGCAATTTGCTTGCAAATCATATAGCATAAAAATGACAGGCTCTGCAGTGCAATGGATAGCACATTCAACGGATGTGGGTTCGAGTCCCACCAGAGTCGCAACCTTTGCTCTTTTTCTTCACTGACTTATGTGTGTTATGAGTGTTTCCAACATTTTAGGCGTCTGTACATCCCGTTTTGCTTCTTTCTTTCATTGTGCAGTGCAGGCTCAGATACTAGGGGTACTCTACAATAAAGCCGATGACTTAATTGAGCTGTTTTAAATGAGGGAGATTAGAAAACAGTGTAGGGCCTAGTGGGCTTGAGGAATAACCCGAAGGCAACCTGTGGTTTTGGGGAAATGTAACTGCCACCTATTGTTGAGATCAAGCCTTTTGCATTTGTCGT